TGGGGCGGCTGTTGGACCCTCCCAGGGAGGGAGCCAGGGCAGTAGACCCTCCCACCACACCCCATGGCCTCCTCCCACGCTCCTGGCACCTGGCTGTGGTTCCTTTGGGGCAGGGAGCAGGTGAACTTGAAGGCAAATAAAAGATGCTCAGGAGGTGAGGACCCTGTGGGAAAGGCACCCAGGGACCAGTGGGGAAGCAAGCACTGCTGTGTCTGCGTGGGGACCCATGTGCCTGTGTGAGACGCCCGGCTCAGACCAGGGCACAGCACCAGCCATACTTCAGCCGAGGAGAGGGCTGTCCTCGGTTCCTAACAGTTCAGGCCACCATACTCTGTTCCCCATTCTGCAGTGACTGCTTTCCTGTTAAGAGACTCATCAAGTCATTTTGAAATGGAGAAGGAAACCCTGAAGGCCCAAAGCCGTGTGCTGCTGGCATGATCCCTAGCCGTTCTCCGTGCTGCTGGGGTGATGCCAATCAACCAATCGACGGTTGGATTTTTGCTCTGTGGCAACTCCCATGTTCCAGGAACACAAGCCTTTTCTTTTCAGCAGGTAATTGGTGCACATAACAGATGGCATGATTTTGAAAAAACAGAGAGCAACATTTCTTCCTTGAAATAGGTTTGTTAACTTAAGGAGTTCCAGGTTCAGAGAAGCCCCCTTCCAGGTTTACCGGGTCAACAGAATGGACATGAACTCACGTTCATAACCAAAAGTCAGGCAGAAAAAGCATGGTAGAGGCTGAGTTCAGATTGTGAAACAAAATACCTATTTCTTCTCCAGCATCCCATTAAAATCTCTTGGTCTACAGAAGGCTCTCACACAAAGCCTCTGCAGACAGCGCCCCACCATGCCCAGTAGCTCACTCCGCCTTATGTTCTGGTTCTGTGCCTGCCTTCCCCACGAGTGAGCACGTAAGTCCCTGCAAGAAAGGGACCCTAGGCTAGGGTGACCAGACATCCCGCTTTTCAACAATTTGTCCCAAGTCCCGCAGCATTTTAAAAAAGTCCCAATTTTTGGAAAGAATGCATGAACAGGGCAGGAGAACAAGAAAGGAATATACGGTTTTCGGCTGCCATGTGGCTATTTCGCCAGAATATGAGTTTTATATTATTTTTGTTAATTTTATAATGTTAAACTGTAATAATAACAAATAATTGCT